AACCCTGATCGATCAACAACCATCAACATTGAGGCAAAACCTTCCACCAGCAAAAAGATTAGGACTTGCCAAAGGTGCAGAAGATCATCAGCTTTGTTTTAGCAATAAATTATTTTAAAATGAAGGTGTGTACACTGTCTTTTTAGAAATAATGATATTGTACACTTTATAGCATAGTGTAAGCATCACTTTTATATGCTCTGGGAAATCAAATAATGTGACTCGCTTTATTGTGATATTCACTTCATTATGGTGGTCTAAACCCACAACATCTCTAAGGTATGCCTGCACTAAAATTGGAATGATACAGGAAGCTTAGTATGGTCCACACATAAGGATAACATGCAAATTTATGGAACATTTCATGTATTTAAAAAAGAATGTTTTTGGCCAGGCATGGTGGCTCATGCCTGTAATTCCATCACTTTGGGAGGCCAAGGCTGTCGGATCACAGGGTCAGAAGATCGAGACCATCCTGGCCAGCATGGTGAAACCCCATCTCTACTAAAAATACAAAAAAATTAGCTGGGTGTGGTGGCCCGTGCCTATAATCCCAGCTACTTTGGAGGATGTCATCTCTGTACCTGGTCATCACAAAGTGAAGTGTCCAACAGTTTTGAATAGGAAACAACAAAATAACTAAAGGAACCAAAAAAGAGACAGAAGAAAATCTATAGAGTACAACTATATAGGAAAAGAAAGTGTCCCCAAACTCACTCAGATTATCTGAATGCTATTTCCAAAGAGAGTAAAAAAGATAATATCTGTAAAACAAGAACACAGATACTATTAGACAGGAATTATCAGAGAAACAGTAGTTAATAAAAAATGTTATTGCCAAAATCAGGACAAATTGAGTAAATCAAGAATATGAGAGAAAGGAATTGTAAGTTCAATCTAGGATGTCTAGCATCCAACTAAAAAAGTTCCAGGAAAAAACACAGGGGAGGAGATTAACAAATAATAAAATTTCCCAGAGCTGAAGGCACTAGATACTCAGCATAATGAATGAAAAAAGACCCTTGGACAGGCATGGTGGCTCATGCCTGTAATCCCAGTACTTTGGGAGGCTGAGGTGGGTGGATCACAAGGTCAAGAGGTTGAGACTATCCTGGCCAGCATGGTGAAACCCTATCTCTACTAACAACACAAAATTTAGCCGGGCATGGTGGCGTGTGCCTGTAGTCCCAGCTGCATGGGGGGCTGAGGCAGGAGAATCGCTTGAGCCAAGATTGTGCCACTGCACTCCAGCCTGGCAATGGAGCAAGATTCTGTCTCAAAAAAAGAAAAAAGACCCTCACAAAGACATTACGAGACATTTCAGACTGCTGTGGATAAAAGGGAGAAACAGGAAACTTCCAGAGATGAAGGGAAAACAATAAAGGAAAGAGACTATCCACATCAACATTTTTGGAATAAGCTTCCAAAATTGATTGGAAATAAATTTCAACCTAGAATTCCATACAAAGTCCAGTATAAAATATCAGAAGTGCAAATCATAAATGTACAGCTCACTGAATTTTTGCAAAGTGAATACATCTATAAATAGCATACAGATCAATAAGCAAAATATTATCCCTCATGTGTCCTTCCAGCCACTCCTCACAACCTCATCCCACCAAGGCTATCGATATTCTCACCATTTTTTTTTTTGAGATAGGATCTTGCTTTGTTGCCCAGCCTGGAGTGCAGTGGTGCAATCTTTGCTCACTGCAGCCTTAGCCTCTTGGGCTCATGCAGTCCTCCCACCTCAGCCTCTTGAGTAGCTGGGACTATAGGTGCATGCTGCCATGCCTAGCTAATTTTTAAATTTTTTGTAGAGATGGGGCCTCACTATGTTACCCAGGCTGGTTTCAAACTCCTGAGCTCATGTGATCCACCTGCCTTGGCCTGTAATCCCAAAGTTTTGGGATTACAGGCGTGATCCATCATGCCTGGCCTCTGATGTTCTGACTTTTAACTGCATAGGTTAAATTTTGCCTGTTTTTGAATTTTTGTTTGGGTTTTGTTTTTGTTTTTTAATTTTATATAAATTTATATAAACTACATAAATGTAGTTATGCAGCATATTCTCTTGGGTCTGGCTTTCACTCAACATTAAGTTTGTGTGTTGTTGCATAATTATACTTTTTTCATTCTTACCACTAATAGCAATGGTTCTCAAATGTTTGTGTCAGAATCACTTCTTAAAAATCAGGGTCACAGAGCTATATGTTTATGCAGGCTGTATAATAATTACCATTTTAGAAATTAAAACAAATTGTTCAAGCACAAGAATATATAAGCACAAATTTTACTGACCATCAGTGATGATATGACATTTTGTAGCCTCTGGAACATCACTGTATACTTGCGAGAGAATGAGTGAAAGTAGGACAAATTACTTCTGAATATTATTATGAAAGTAGTACATATTTCAAACTCTCTGAAAGGGTCTCCCTGCCAGTCCCTGAATCACACATTAAGAACTGCTGCCCTACAGTATTCGGTTGTGTGAAAACACCAGTGTTATAGCCATTCTGCTCTTCATGGGCATTTGAATTATCTCCACTTTTGCCTGTTGCTAATAGTTTTACTTTGCATATTCTTAAAGTATGTGCCTTTTAGTGAACATACTATGCATTTCTGTTGGGTATACATACTTAGACTTCGGATTGATGGGTCATCAATTCAGTTTTGAGTGGAGGTTTTGAAAAATCTGTAGGAAATTCAAGTGAGATTGTAAACAGGAAATTGGAAGAGTCTGTCAACAACTTAGGAAAGAAGCCAGTGTTGCAATAGTGAAACGTGGAAGTCGACTGGGCACAGTATCTCATGGCTGTGATCCCAGCGCTTTGGGAGGCTGAGGCAGGCGGATCACAAGGTCAGGAAATCGAGAGCATCCTGGCTGACATGATGAAACCCCATTATCTAATAAAATAACATTTAAAAATTAGCCAGGTGTGTGGTGGCACGCACCAACAGTCCCAGCTACTTGGGAGGCTGAGGCAGGGAATTGCTGAAACGGGAGGTGAAGGTTGCAGTGAGCTGAAATTGTGCCACTGCACTCCAACCTGGCAACAGAGTGAGACTGTCTCAAAAAAAGAAAAAATTCTGAGAGTCATCATTATACAATCGATAATGGAACCAGAAAGTGTGCATAAGATTGTCCAGAGTAGAGTAAGTTGCATAAAAAGAGGACAAAGAACTGAATGTAGGGGAATAGCAATATGTCCCTGATGAATATAGGAAGGGAAAGCCATGACTGAGACAGAAGGGGTTGGCTGGAGGTAGAAGAAAGTCGTCATTGTGGAAAGGTTGTATAAAACATTGGAAAGTATAAACTGGGCTTTGCTGTGGAACTCATTGTTGACTTTGGTGCGTAGGTATTCAGCAAGAATATTGAGCCCATCCATGTGTCAGGTGCTCTTCTAAATGTGGGAGGTATAGCGGTGGACAAACGAAAAAAATTTTATTAAAGATGGGTAATCCTTAGATAATATTTATATATAGTGACGGGGAGGGAGAGTTTGGAGACATGGGAAGGGGAAGGCAAGGATCTCTTCCCACCTTCTCTGTATGATGAACTCCTACTCATCCTCATGTCATGACATGTGAGGACTTTTTCAGGTAACAAATTTCATTAGAGTTGTTTGTGGGCAAGAGGAAGTCACTTCTGAGTAAACGCCTGGGGGCTACCTGTAAGAAAAAGTCTGGGCTAGACTGAGTACGGTGGCTCATGCCTGTAATCCCAGATTTTGGGAGGCTGAGGCAGGCAGATCACCTGAGGTCAGGAGTTTGAGACTAGCCTGTCCAACATGGCAAGACCCATCTCTACTAAAAATACAAAAATTTGAATTGGTGGCACACGCCTGTAAGACTCAGCTACTTGGGAGGCTGAGGCAGGAGACTCACTTGAACCCGGGAGATGGCGGTTGCAGTGAGCCAAGACAGGTTCACTATACTCCAGCCTGGATGACAGAATGAGACTGTCTCAAAAAAAAAAAAGTCTGGGATTCTTGTCAGCCCTCTAGACAGTTCTGATACCATTTTCACTGACTCGTAGATTGCTCAACAACTTTCCAGAAGAAGATCTGACCTCTAGATAAGTGAGGCCTTTATAGGATTATATAATGTCTATTTATATCTCTATAGGACAGTGAGCTGTGACTGCTTAGGGAGTATCAGTCCATTTAAAAACATAACTTTGGGAATTAGAAATCGATAAATATTGCAAAATCTCGTTTTGTTCATCTAATTGTTTGGAGTAGCTATTCTACAGATTTTGAAGTACACCGAAACTGGCTTGCTATTACTCACAGTTTGCCAATATCACAGTGGTATTATGAGGTAAGTGTTAATTTTCACCTTTTTGGGTTTTTTTTAAAGATTCATATATAAACTAGGTAAATATTATTGATATTAAACATGTTTTCTGTGCAATTATAGGTCTAATTAATCTTTATAAAAATTGTGTTCTCTTCTCAGTTCTGTCCTCTTGTACTACTAGGGAATCCCCATACTTCAAAGTGAGTTTCCCAGTCTGTAAATTGGGAGTTTTAGTATATACCACATTTTTTGAAAGAACAGTGGACTGGGAAAGAGGAAGAATTGGATTCTTAGGCCTGGTTCTGCTACTGTCTAGTTACATAGAGAAAAGATACTTCATGTCTCTGGGCCTTAGTGTCTCATCTGGCACATGAGGATTTGGAGTGAATTATTTCTAAGATCCTGTCTGATGCTAATGTTTTGTAATTTTATGAGGCAAGGAATAATCAAATGTGATGTGTAGACGTCAGGTTAAATATACAGACCATTCTCTCATATTGCTTATAAAAACTACATCTATGTTTTTATTTATTTTTCTTTTTTTTTGAGACAGAGTCTCACTGTCGGCCAGGCTGGAGTGCAGTGGCACGATCTCAGCTCACTGCAACCTCTGCCTCCCAAGTTCAAGCGATTCTCCTGCCTCAGCATCCCGAGTAGCTGGGATTACAGGCACCTGCCACCACGTCCTGGCTAATTTTTGTATTTTTAGTAGAGAGGGGGTTTCACCATGTTGACCAGGCTGGTCTCAGACCTCTTAACCTCAGGTGATCCACCCACTTTGGCCTCTCAAATTGCTGGGATTATAGGCGTGAGCCACCACACCCAGCCTATATTTTTATTTCTGGTGTGAATTCCTAAACTGCGTGTAATACTTTATTAAAAACAGACATCACCTCAAAAATTTCTTCGTCAAAAGCAGTGCTGTGCTGACAGGGAGTTGGTTTTGTTTTTGTTTTTGTTTTCCTTTTTTTGAGACAGAGTCTCTGTCACCCAGGCTGGAGTGCAATGGCACAGTCTCGGCTACTACAACCTCTGCCTCCTGGGTTCAAGTGATTTTCCTGCCT